ACATTAGTCATAGAAGAAACTTATTTAATTGACTAAACTAAATATTAATATTGATTAATAAAACTAGCTCATAAAAATCGGGGTGTTACATGGAGGATGACTAAACTTTAATTTCCTCTAAAAACTTGAAAAAGTGACATTGTTTGGTATTGATATGGCATGATACCGTCCCATTTGAAAATGGAACCGTACCGAACGGGTAGAGGTCTAAGACCGAACCGAACCGTTTGAATAATCACAATATGCGTACGGGTTCGGCCAAATATTGGACCGGACCGTACCGCGCCCACCCCTATCCAACGTGATAGAATAGTGAAAAGGCAAATCATGATATGATTTCAAACAACTTTTGAGTGAGGTGATGGTGTGGTACATTATTATGATACAATCCTATGAGGTTGTGATACATTTTTCATCCTTATATCCGATCATATCAACTTAAACCTGTCACATCAGAACAGATTGATATTACAATTTTGTGGTACACTCACAATGGACATGTATCAGAACAAATCATAATACTTTAGACCAATTAAAATTCTAATTGTAAAGTTATTATGTGTTTTTTACACATATATTGCCAAAACTAATATGACTTACAAAAATATGACCTTGACTATTTAAAACGCATGAAGTCCCGTAACTAAACAAGAGAAATGACATAATTACCCCAAACCGTTCAGAGCTATATAGCGATATATTTCTGGATTTCTCTAAATTCCAGAAAATCCGTTACCTGATTGCGGAAAATATGAAGATCACTACGGAACGATTCAATACTAAAGTACGGAAGTTGGAGTGTAGTCAATACTTTATGGATGGGAATATAGTAATGGAGATATAGCACAAAGTACTGCTTTTTTTAGTAAATATGGCCAAAGTGATGAACACGCATCTGGTTGTGTAGTAGTAATTTTTTTAGTTGGAAGAAGAGAAGCGAGATAGTAAGGTAGTCCTAGTGTATAGTAATGACTATTAAGTAAAATGCAGTTACGTGAATAGTAATGTTTATGCATATGTTTCAGTGATTATATGTTGGAAAAAAGACCGTGCCTATTTAATTACACAAAGTAAAGTATTTGAAATAATGAACTACAAGTAAATATAGAGTATTCACTGTAGTGTTTTAGTAGTGAAGTAAGGATTGTGCATGAACTTCTCGATTGAGGAAAAGAAGTAATGAACAGCAACTAGAGAAGTGGTAGGTAGTAACTATTGTTCGTGTAAGCGTGTTAAGTTAGAGAAGTAAGGAACGAGAATTAATTAATAACAATGTAGTAATTTGGATTGAATTAAAGAAATGTAAGGGTTGTGGTAGCGATTTAAGTGGTTAGAAGGAAGTATGAGGAATTAATATGATAGGATTACGGTAAGAAAATTCAGTTGGAGTAGAAGGAATCTTGCAGAGGAAACTAGATGGCCGTTAGTAGGAGGCCAAATACAGAAAGATGAAATCCATTTTATATGAATTTTAATATGAGATAGTGTTTAGTAATATTTTTGTTAATGACATCTTAACTAGTAATATCAATGAAATTTTTCAATTATTATTCGGTAACTATTTTCTTACAAAGACATTAATGATGAATCACATCTACAATAAAACATGATTAGTATTTGGGAATAATACGAGAATTTATTTGACAAATTTTCAATAAGTAGTTTTTTTGGTTAAACCTTACTATGACTAAACTCAAGGTGTCCTAGAAATGACATTTTTTACATGTAGAAAAAATATGACTAAAATGATATCGTAGTAATAAATTTGAGAATTGTGAATGCTACTATAAGTTTATTGTACCATCAACCATTTTTATGTGATTGACACTTGATTATCTCACTATCAATTAGTGTAGGGGCTAGCGTTTGCCATTAATGTCACTATCATTGTGAAATATATCATTGATCGTTAAGAAAAATCCAAACCATTTTTCCCCTGAAACAAATCAAATAAATACTTTTTATTTATTACGATTTTTTATGGTGGTCGCCTACTCGCCTGTGGATGGATTGTGGGAGAGGGGCAAGGGAAAAAGGTCGGTGAAAAGTTGAAGAGAGATTTATAATAGAAGAAACTTAATTATTTAAATGAGAGTTCATCACATTTTCTAAAAGGAAAACTCATTCAAGCATCTCAACTTTAAAAAATGTTAAAATAAATTTTATCAAATTAGTGATCCTTCCGCCAGTAATTTACACATTCGTTGGTCCATGTGAACTTTTTTTCTTTCATTTTTTCTTTCCATTCGCTCTCTTCTTCTGCTGGTTACGAGTCTGCAAACTCTCTCTAGTGGTTCTCTCTTCTTTATTTTTTCTTCCCATGGTTCTTTGCTCGTTAGATCCCTCTTTCCAATGAGTCTATCCGCCGTCTTCACCACTCGTTTCAAACTTTAAATGACTCATTGCTCCACACCAGTGGCGGAGCCAGAGGTTTGTCCAAGGAGGGGCAAACCAAAGACTAAAAATTTTAAAGTTCGTGTCCAAAATATAATAAGAACAACAATAGCGTAATAATTTAACAAAAAATTATAGTTCATTACATACTACTTGATTTACTTCTGCAACCTAGGCAAATCAATCCTACGAGTTTTCATATTTTGAAAATGGTGCATAATAGCTTCATTATCAATTGCTTGAAAAATGTCTCTTTCGATGTAGCATACTAAGCAATCCGTAAGATAGTCATCTCCCATCTTATTGCGAAGACCCGTCTTGATAATATTCATCGATGAGAAAGCTCTTTCAACTGTGGCTGTTGCAACTGGTAACACTAGAGCCAACTCAATAAGACGATAGACCAAGTGAAAAGATTTGTGAATTGTAAGCTCAACCATCTTCTTAGACACTTCACCAATACTTTGTAAAGTGGAAAATGCTTCATTTCCTCTCATCTCATATATCCAAACTTGGAGTTGTTCTTTAAGCTCCATTTGCTCAACAACTGAAAAATCAGATGAATATAACTCCGCAAGACTGAGTAGCTTTGACTCACAGAAATTGGAAAAATTATCTTTAGGATCAAGGCAAGCTAAACAAGCGAGTAAATCTGTATTTGACTCACTAAAGCGATTCTCCATTTCCAGATTGACCTGGTCTATAACCTACAATAAGGTAATAATAAAAAGTAGTAGTAATAGTAATAATAATAATGATAATACTAATAATAACAACTAATAAATAATTTAAATTTTAATAAAAAATAGCTGATAAAAAATATCAGCTCGAAAGTGATGATAATTTGTTACCGGATGGCGAACGCGTCTAGAACGATGAGTTGTATCTTCCATGTTTAGAATGTCAATTTTATTCTTCACACAAAATTTACTGACATCTTCTAATAGCTCTTCGTTATACAAATAGCATTAAATTGCATCTAGAACTGAGATTTGAGGATTCACGCAAATAATTTCTGACTTTTCGTTAGGGATGAGAGCAAATAATTAATATGGGCATAAATTGGCAGATGAGAAACTTACTTGAAAATTGCAGAATCTGAGAACAAATGGGGAGAAGTGAGAACTAGGAAATATCCGAACCGAACCGATCTTTCGGTTTCGTATATTCTATAACCCGAAACCGAACCGATCTAAGTTGGGACCCAATTTTTCGGACACCGAATTTTCGGTCCGGTTATTCGGTTTTTTCACAAAAACCGAATGGGTATTCAATATTTGTTTATATTGTAGCTAATACTTGCACTCAAGCTTTACTAGCAACTTAATCTTTATCAACTATGAAGGAGCGATTATATAGGCTCAAATGAGGAGTGAATCCTCTATTTCATCCGGTGTGGGACGAGTTGTAGGCTGAAGAAAATAAAATTGGAAGAATTGGGGCGGAAGAAAAGCAAAACAGGTTTAACTTAATCCGTCCTGGGGGGGATTCAAACACGGGTGATACGAAGGGAGCGTGTTACATGTCTCCACTGAGCTACTCCGGATTATTGGCAAATTGGGATGCCAAATGTATTACATACATTAATCCCCTTTTATTCTATATTTCATTTTTTTACTTTTTCTGAAAATACTTTTTTATTTATTTTAACACTTCATCTTAAAATAACCTTAAGTTGTACTTATTGTTTTTAAAATTAAAAAAGAAGCCGGGGCAAGAAACATATTATAAGTAATACTAGTAAAAAAAATTAGTCGGAGCGGGAGCGCTTGCCCCCCTTGCCCCCCTAGCTTCTCCACTGCTCCACACCTTTTGAATTTGACATCTCTTTCAATTTGTGTGCATTAGCATCACCAGATACAAACAATGAGATCAAAATGGAAACCCACTCAACTAGCCAACAATGCAATTGCCTTGGTAAGCTAATTTCCACCAAAATTATTAAATTATACCTTGACTCTCTAGTCTCGTCTAGTTAAACATGTTTTGGTCTCAGATTGAAAACAATCTAAGGAAACCCGTAATAATGCTCATTATTTAACTGAAATGATCAAAAGAAACAAATGAGAGATTTATAGTTTGTTTAAATGAAATGTTTAACTGAAATGTTGGAGGGAATACTTTTTTGATTTACGGAGTATAAGTTTATCCATATTTTCTCCGTCACATCAAATGTCCACTCATAGTTTGTTTACAGTTCTATGATTTTGTTTTTGCACAAATTGTTATCAAATGTACTGGATAGGGGCATTGATTTCATAAATATTTGTTCTACAAAACGAAGTTACAAATGGAGAAAATTGATCATGTGGACAAACTCTAACAAACCACAAGGACGTTCAAAAAAAGATCATTGGTATACTAAAAGAGTTCATTAATAATGGCAACCATAAATTCTTCAACAACAAACAACCGAGTAAAATTAATTGGGAATAGGGGACTCAAAGGATTTTTCCACCGCCGATTTGGGGAATCCGACCAATTGCATTTGTTTGCATTATACGCCAACACTACTCTGTGTCGCGCCCCACCACCACTCATGGGCCCTGCCATGGCCATGGCCATTATTTATTTATATTTAGTCTGAAACCACAAACCCAATCAATCACCCCCACTCATCTTTGTTGTCCTGAAGCGAGCAACAATGGCGGATTCCATTCAACCCTTTGCTTTCTTGCTTCTCCTCACATGGGGGTTCGTCTTCTCTTCTCCCATCTCCGCCTCAGAGTACCGGAGCCTAGTTGTCCGCCCTCTCGACGCCGCCCAGCAGGCCATCTCCTTCACTCCCCTGCAGCTTGATGCGGAATCCGGCGAGAACACCCTTGCTCTGGAGCTCCACCATATCGATCATATATCTTATGCCGCCCTAAATTCAACCCCCACGGCCCTCTTCGAGAAGCGCCTGCAGCGCGATGCGGCCAGGGTCAAGGCTCTGTCGACGGTTGCCGCGGATAACGCCACCGCCGCCGGCCAATCCCGCAGTCGCGGAGCTGATTTCAGTAGCTCCGTCATCTCCGGGCTGGCTCAGGGGAGCGGCGAGTACTTCACGCGCCTCGGCGTCGGAACACCGCCTAGGTACGCGTATATGGTGCTGGACACTGGAAGCGACGTCGTTTGGTTGCAGTGCGCTCCTTGTAAGAAATGCTACACCCAAGCTGACCCGGTTTTTGACCCGGCTAAATCCACGTCTTTCGCTCAAATCCGGTGTGAATCCCCTCTGTGCCGGCAACTCGACTCCCCTGGCTGCGACGCCACAAAGCTGTGCCGTTACCAGGTGTCGTACGGCGACGGATCTTTCACCGACGGCGAGTTTGCCACCGAGACACTGACTTTCCGCCAGACGAGCGTCCAGAAAGTCGCAATCGGCTGCGGCCACGACAACCAAGGCTTGTTCGTCGGAGCAGCCGGGCTTTTGGGTCTCGGGAGGGGGAGTTTGTCGTTCCCGAGCCAGGCCGGTCAACGGTTCGGCTCAAAGTTCTCGTACTGCCTCGTTGACCGCTCCGCGACTTCGAAACCTTCTTCGATCGTCTTCGGAGAAACGGCGGTGTCGAGAAGAGCGGTTTACACCCCGCTTCTCCAGAACAAGGGAATGGACACCTTCTACTACGTGGAGTTGCTCGGAATCAGCGTCGGAGGGTCGCCGGTGCCGGGCATCAAACCGTCAATGTTCAAGGTCGACCCGACTGGAAACGGAGTTATAGTCGATTCCGGCACCTCCGTGACCCGGTTGACCAACCCCGCTTACATGGCAATGCGGAATGCTTTCAGGAATGGGACAACGGGACTGAGATTGTCGAAGGGGTTCTCGCTGTTTGACACCTGCTACGATCTCTCCGGGAAGGACGAAGTGAAGGTGCCGACGGTGGTTCTGAATTTCAAAGGAGCCAACGTGTCACTGCCGGCGTCGAACTATTTGATTCCGGTGGATTCGGCCGGGAAGTTCTGCTTTGCGTTCGCCGGTACCAATGGCGGGTTATCCATAATTGGGAATATCCAGCAGCAGGGTTTCCGGGTTGTTTTCGACTTGGCGGAATCCAAAGTCGGGTTTGCTACGGGTGGATGCGAATAATTAAAATTATGATTATTATGACTTTGGTTGGAGATAACTTTATTTGTTTAATATCCTTTTACAATAATATTTGGAGCATTATTGTTATTAGTTTGGAGTATTATTTAAAAGAAAGATCCCATGTATGATTGGAAGTGGAGTGAACTATGACTGGAAGGGAAGCACCGGCCAAAGAAATGGGAACCTAATTTTAGTTTTATTTCTCGTTTTCTTATTTATTTTGGTTTTGTTTGTATGGTCGCATGGGATTAACCATTTATATTAAGGATATTGTTAGTATTTACTGTCCTTCGAATAGTAGTTAATTTGTTTACTACCATCTTATACACATCTTATACGCATCGTGTTTGTGAAGTTTTTTTTGTCTGTGAATCGATATTTTGTTTGTGCAAAATATAGTGTGTACAAACATCATTTTTTGATATTTTTACTAAAATTCTATTGCATATTTATGGAAGGGATCTCCTCATCTCCTGCCCTACGTACACAAAGGATCAGATATCGATATTTGCCAATTAAGTGGACTCGTACGTCTCAAATCCTTAGGAACACACTCTTATCTGTACGGCAGGGTTATAGGCTTTGGCGGCATACAGATTTATGCCATATAAAACTTATCCCCTTCAATAAATCAAAATTATTAACTCTTTATACTACTACGTACATCCTTACCGCTAGTAGTGTGTGGACATATAAAAATTACTGTGCCAACTATGATAGCTATTGAGCTCTTAAAAGCTACCAGGCTATATTATTTGCAAGTAGGCCACTGTCGGATTCTGTTGGGCCGCTCGTGATGGTTGTTGGGTTTTATAAAAATATTAATATGGACCCATTCGGATAAAATTTAATAATTGAATTAATTTGGGTCATTTAAATATCCAATTAATTTAATTTTTAAAAGAATGGACCGGTCCTATTAATTTCTTTATTTTGAGCCCATTATTAAATAGTAGCCCAATGAATAAAAGTCATGATCCAATTAATAAAGAGAGCAATGAATATGGTTAAGGAATCCATCCGTATGCATGGAAAATGGCTGCGAACCTTGTTAAAAAGGCTGTCCAGATACATCGAACAAGTGCTGATTTTTCTGACTATTAAATGCAAGCAGATAGAGCCCAAAACCCATTTTATTTGAGGCCCATGAGGTATGGACGAAATTCTGCAACCCTAAAGCATATTTTCACCTCCTCCACACCTATAAATAGGGGTCTCAGTTGAGAGAAAAAGGAGGAGAATTTTCAGACAAAGAAACGTTGCAGAAAAGCTCTCAAGAACTCCCGTAAGGCTCTGAACGATCCCGAAGAAGAGGAATAGATCAAGCCACGATTTTTGTTAAGAATATACGAATAATCCTTCGTGATTTCGTCGATTCTTAATAAAATAAATCCAAAAGTTGAAGAACGTTCGAAGATCTGAAGAACGAAGCTTGAAGATTCGAAGATCTGAATAACAAGACTTTGAAGATTTGAAGATATGAAGAACGAAACTTTGAAGATTTGAAGATATTCATATTAAGATTGAAGCAAGATTCAATTGAAGATCAAGCCACATATCCCGGGAGGCCCTTAAACAGAAGATCAAGCCATAAAACGGCCCTTTTGTTGAAGATCAAGCCACTTGAAAACCGGATGCCCTTCAAGCTGAATTCTTAATTCAAGAATATTTGAAGATTCAAAGAACGAAGATTCGAAGATTCAAAGAACAAAACTTTGAAGGTTTGAAGATACGAAGAACGAAGGTTCGAAGATTTGAAGATCTGACGAACGTTCGAATATTTGAAGAATTAAAGATTTAATTTTGAATTAATTTCTTCAATTATATTTATGTCAAATTGCAAGTGAAGAATCAGATGATTCATATTTAGAGATTGTACCCAATTATCTCACATATTATTATTTGCGATCAATTTTAAGTAAATACTTAAAATTTGTTTCACAAATTTTTGGCACGCCCGGTGGGACATCTCTACCTCTCATCTCTTCACTTTTGAAAACGAACCCATGGCATCAAGCAAGCCCGTGTTCACTCTGAATTCTCGAGCATCATCAAGCTCGAATCAAAACATGCAAGGCCCTATCACTAGGAGCCGATCAAGAATGATGTCTGCGCAGTCATCTTCGGGAACTACTCCCGGTGCGATGGAGGGATTTCAAACAGCGCAAGAGGTGGCCCGGAAGCTTTCTTCATCTATACATGAAGTTACTTCCCCGAAGTGGACAAACAGTGGTGAAAGCTCGTCATCCGGTTCAGACTCTACTTCTCCATCAACTTCTCCACGAAGAACTACCCCACAGTGGTCAAATGTCTACACTGTGATGCCCACTATGACAACAAGCACCACATCTATGGAAGAACAAATTGCCCATCTAACTAAGGTTATCGAGGGGATGAGCATGTTCATGCAAGCTCAAGATCATAAGTTGAATGATCTTAACAGCAAAGCTTGAAAGGCGAATCAAGTCATGCCCATGAGAAGGATCCCGAAGTGCATGAAGATAATGATTCTCATCAAGAGGATTCGGGAAAGAACATCTCAACCTCTGGGGGCATGATCCCGATTGATCAACTCAAAGACTTCATCATGGGAACAATAAAGGGGAAGATAGAAGGAAAGCAGTCTACTTACTCCTATGTTAAGCCATACACTCAAAGGATCGAGGATTTGAAGATGCCCGTCGGTTACCAGCCGCCAAAGTTCATACAGTTTGATGGAAAGGGAAACCCGAGATAACATGTTGCCCATTTCGTAGAAACTTGCAATAATGCGAGAACGGGCGGGGATCACCTGGTCAAACAATTTGTGCGCTCTTTGAAAGCAAATGCATTTGATTGGTATACTGACTTGGAGCCCGGTTCCATTGACAGCTGGCAAGATATGGAAAGTGAGTTCCTAAACCGTTTCTATAGCACAAGGAGGGTGGTGAGTTTGCTTGAGTTGACAACTACTCGCCAGTGGAAAGATGAGCCCGTGATAACCTACATTGAACGTTAGAGGGAACTTGCCCTCAACTGCAAAGATCGGATCTCTACAAACTCTACAATTGATATGTGCATTGAAGGCATGCATTGGGAGTTATGTTATATTCTGAAAGGAGTAAATCCAACTACTTTCGATGAATTAGCGAGCAAAGCTCGTAACATGGAGTTGAGCATTGCAAGCAGTGGAAGACAAGCCACGGGCATATATCCCATGAACAATGCTGCTGAAAAGCAAGATACCAAGAAAGGGGGCAAGCCCTTCTCTAAATTTGAAAAGAAAGAAGCAATGGTTGTAAAAGCTTCACCAGTCAAAGTCTTCACTCAAACTACCGAGAAGGCAAAGCAGGTTGCTAGAGTTGAACCTGAAACCTCTGGGCGTGTCAAGCCGACTTTGCGAGAGATGATGGAGAAGCAATATCCTTTCTTGGAATCAGATGTTTCTCCAATGTTTGATGAACTGACGAGGTTGAAACTTGTTGATTTACCTCAGTCAAAACGACCCGAGGAAGCTACGAAGGTCAATGATCCTAACTACTGCAAATATCATAGAGTGCTGAGTCATCCAATAGAGAAGTGTTGGGTGTTCAAAGAAAAGATTATGGCTTTAGCCCGTGAAGGAAAGATTGAACTTGCTGATTCTGCAGCAAGCACAAATCAAATTACCATTACATTTGGTAGGTTTGCTCCGCTCATGGTCGACGATGACCTAAATTCTCACAAGCATAAGCTCCCTTTTATTGTCAAGGGAATGAAAGGATGTCCGCCTCTCACCAAAAGAATGGCACTCGAGGATGTCGATGACAAAGGGAGACCATGGATCTTGATAACTCGAAAGAAGCAAAGGAAGAATCATGAACCTAAACCACAACCGAAGAAGGTGATAAAGAAATGGGTTAGGCGACAACCGATAAATGAATTGAAGAAAAGGAAGCAAAGGAAGGATCATGTTCGTCCCAAGGTTGCACGAAGAGTAATTACTCTCAACGATTATCTGCCAAAGGACTCAAGAGCAAGAAAACTCAAATATCGAGCTCTTGCCTGAGCACCCATGAAAAAGACGTTGATAGTTCAAATAGGGGTTTATCTCCAGTTTCGAATAAAGAGGAGGTGGCTGGAGCACAAAGATCTACTTCATACGCCACTGACATTGTCTTTAAAGATGAAGATCTTATGTTGGGTGCTACTCCCCATAACCGTCCGCTTTTTGTTGAAGGATACACTCGTGGACGAAGATTCAGAAGAATTATGATAGATCAAGGGTCTGCCGTTAACATCTTAACGGTTCGAGCTATGAAAGATCTTGATATATCAATGGATGAACTCTCCCAAAGTCGCTTAATGATTCAAGGCTTTAATCAAGGGGGGCAAAGAGCGATTGGAATGATCCGTCTTGATTTGGTCATTGGCGGGTTGAAAGCAAGTATTTTATGTCACGTCATTGATGCAAAGGCTTCATATAATCTCCTTCCAGGTCGTCCATGGATCCATGAGAACGGTGTGATTCCTTCAACATGGCACCAATGCTTCATGTATGAGGAGAACAGTGTCGTAAAGAAGGTAGTGGCCGATGAAACTCCATTCACAGAAGCCGAGACATACTTTGCAGATGCAAAGTTTTACCAGAAGCCCAAAATTTCTGAAGAAGACGATATTAGACAGGAAGAAGTATATCGCCCTTTGACTCAACCAAAGCTGAAAGGGAAAGTTGTTGAAGGCGTAGAAGGGCTTACGTTCCCTCTTGCAAAGATCGAGATATCAAGGCCTCCTCAAGACACGTCTCAGGAAGAAATAAAGCACAAGGATGATGTTAAGGAGTTTCAAATCCCCAAGGCACGCACTAATGAAGGATTTGACCCAAATGCATACAAACTTCTGGCCAAGGCTGGGTATAATCCTAATGAACGGAAGTTAGGAAAACTCATTCCAGAAGCTGGTGGAGAAGGACCATCGAAGCAGATCAATCTTCGAGGACATACAGGGTTGGGTTACGTTCAGCCTAAACCCATAAGAATCCTCATAAATAGAGCTACAACGCATCATATCAGTGCGGATGAAGAAGATGAGGTGACTTCTAAACCGAAGTATTCCGTTTTTGATCGAATTGGGGGGGGGGCAAAATCAAAACCCGCCATCATTGATAGAATGGGGCCAAAGCCAAAGAAGATCATGAAGAAAACTTTACAAGAAAGGCTTGGAATGATCCCCTTCATGGTAAAGCACATGCAAGACCCATTTAGTGGGCAAAACTTTGAGAGAAAGCCGGGACATGAAAGGTTGGGAAAAGTTCGCTCACGCAAGAAGTCTCTCAACAAATATACAAAAACACAAGTTTTGAATGAATATAGAAGCTTGATTCCATCCCGAATGAGGCGAGAAACTGATGTGCAAGTCTCATGTGGAGAAACTCTC